TTTTTTAATTTGTAACTTAAGGGTATTTTTGTCTTTTTAAATAAAATTCTATCTTTGTAATTGTATAAACTACTTAAGGATATTTTTGTCTTTTACTCAACAAATAGCCATTTTGAAGATTGGCAAAATTTTTTGGTCAAAGTGGAAAAATGGCATTTTGACTTGCCTAATTTCAAAAGTACCCTGGAAGAAGATGGGATGGGAAGGGGGTGCTATTTATTTATTTTATTTTTGGTTTTTTTTTAAAATTATTTTATATGAAATAGTATAAAATTATCATTCTACCTTTTTATAATTGGAAAGAAGATGAAGTTTTTATGTTTTTGGATGGTGTGTTGTACAAATAAAAGAATTGAGTATAATCTGCAAAATAAATAAATAAATAAAAATTTGGTATCACAATTACAATTATTTCTTTTTAATTTTGATCGTATTTACAATTTTTAATGTTTAAACTAACGACCTATGTCGACATAGGGATGATTCGCACCACAAAGGTCATACATGACAATATTCAGCCAACTTGAAAGAATAAGAGGTATTCTGCAATATGTTCAAGATTAGAGCCGTTTTGCACCAATAAGCCAAATTTTATTGTTGCTCTATTTTTTTCACTTTTTTTTTTTCTTTTATAGGAGATCTCTGTAATGAGTTTTGGACCCAAAATTAGTCAACTAATAAGCTAGAGAGATCAGAGATATGATATACCATTTTAGTATGTTGTAGCTTGTACTGCAGCCTTGCTTCTTGGGCAGGGTTGGAGACGGGGGGAAACAGGCCGCCCACCTAATATGATGCACCTTTTAAGTTTTTAATCCCATCCATGCTAGATCAATGAACAAGTCTTGTGTTTTCCTCAAGCTACCATAAACCAAACGGGCAGTATTCCAGTCCACTGACAATGTATTACACTATTATTGAACGCCTGAAACTGAAACTGGAGAGAACCAAGTGAAGAACACACTGATGAACTAAATTGAATGAGCAAAATTGAACAAGCCTTGGATTTCAGATATATGAGAAACCATGTAATAGAATTTTATTTGCTAAACTTGCTCTTGCAGTAATTTAAATTTCGTTTGTCATCTATTTAGTTTGTTTACTCTAAAGTGCTTGTTATTGACCTATTTTACATTATGTAACTGAATTTACATTATGTAACTGAATTAAGTAACACTTTGCTTTATTGATTGTATTTTACTATTTTTGTTAATTATATGTTTTGAGTAGGTAATAGCCTAATACAGATTTTGTGATTTGATTTAAAAAAATAAAATTCCGTTCTTATAATTTCATCCCCATCCCCCACAACCATTGGAGATTTATCTAATTCAGGTTTTGAAAACTTGATTTAGTCTTCAAACTTTTCAAATGTTGTATTTAGTACCTGAAACTTGTGATTCTCCTTCGATTGCCCTCTTGATGCTTCTTACTGATCATGTACAATTCAGTTAATTTTCAATTTCTTTAAATCAGTTCCAATTAAACTCACAAAATTCCCAAGTATTAACTTATTTTTAATCTTAACACTGAAGTCCTTGTATGAACTTTTTACTGTAGAAATGATCCTTTTCGATACGTGATGATGTTCATTTTTCCCGTCAAATTGGTGCCTTGCACGTGCTATATTTCATAATTGCAATTTCATCTGTGCACTAATCTTTTTTCAGACATTTTATTTTGAACTATTCTAAATGTGAATAAACAACATAAAACATAAAAACAGAAGACAGATGTAAAATTTTAAAATATTATCTTCTCCAACACCCCAAACCCGAGCTCAAAGCCATCCCTCTCCCAAATCCCTTCTAACCACTCTGCCCATTCCACAAGACCAAGGATTCACAAGTTTGATCCATTGAGAACCCTGTCGATGTAACTATCAGACTTATATATTCAAGTCGTTAATTTACATATTGTCTACTTTGAGAGAGTTTAAGATCATCTTATCTCTCATGACTTTCTTTCATGTTTTCCAGTATCGAAACCCAAGACCTCCGTTTTATAAGATATTTAAGGTTGGCAACGGTTCGATTTGGGGAACCATCATCAAACCACCAATTTTTTGGCCATACCATAACCACATAAGTTGGTTCGATTCGACTCAATTCATATCTCTATTCGGCTCGATTTGGGAGGTTAACAACTACGAAAATAAATTATTTTTTATAGGTCCAATAGTCAAATTGGAAAAAAACAATTTTTGAAAAGAAATCAATGAAAACAAAAACACAATATTAAGCCAATTTAGCAAACAATATTCCAAATGAAAATGCAAACAATATCTCAATTTTCAAATGCAAAATCGGAATTTAACAAACAATGTCCATATATGTTTAATATTTGTATAGTAGGGTATATGGTTACTGGGTTAGGTTAGTTGGGCTTAGAGAATCGGTAATGGGCTAGAATTTTGGGCTGGATAGAATCATAGAAAGAATAATGGAAAGTCCCATTGCCCAATTAATTTTTTTCACGGGTAATCAGTTAGGGACGGGTTGACAGCGTAAATAGCATACCGGTCCTGCCCCAAACCCGGGCATTAAAATTAAATATCATATCTACCTCATTGCGTCATTCAGTTCGGTTAACCGCGATTTTAGATTTTGGCAGTTTGAATTTCCATCCCTAGATTTAAGTTAAATCCTGAAACAATTTACTTAATTGGTATCAGGATTCAACTTAAATCTCTGTTAAAAAAAGGCCAGGGGTTTAAACCTTGCGGACGCAACAAAAATTCGTGACGGGGCAAGATGGGTCTAAGCCCTTCAATTTTGCGTATGAAAGATTTAAGCTAAACTCTAGTACTAAGATATTGGGTTTGAACCCCAGAAAACACGACAAAAAGTCGTGAGGGATAAGAGGGAAGAAGATGATCGACAAATTTCACTTAGGGTTTCCTCTCCTAAACTCACTATTCTGCTACTTGATGGAGAGTGAGAGGAGAAACGGCTACTTGAGAGGAAGACATTTCAATTTCAACATGTCATTCTTCATCATAAGCACACCATTTATAGATTTCTATTAAGGGTTTTAAGAATAAAAAAGTCTTTAGAGTCGTAGACATGTGGTAGCCATTGATTGATTAATTTCTAACTATTTCCGTTATTTGTTCATGCTTTGCTAGCCTGCTTACATGTTTTTCATTCATTGGTTATGAGTCATGTTTTGCACTTCTATTCACGTGTGTTTTGATAACAATTTTCGTTGAGGTGTAATGAGTTAACAGTTTGTCATTTGTGAGTTCTTGTGAATGTTCTTATTTGCATCTTAAGGTTCGCATACATTTTAATTACTTCAAAAAGGTTCGTAGAAATACGAATTCGCCAATATTTGTTTACGAGTACTGGCGGAATGTAGGTGGAGCATGTTGGGGTCACGTGACTGCCATTTTTTTATTATTTTTTTATTATGAAGAGGGTTTTATTTTTTCTTTGCTCAAAACATTTTCTTCTTCTTTTAGATGTTTGCTTCATAGTGTTTACTTTCTCTTTACTTATACAGAAGCCACAAATTATGTAATAATGGATTCAAAAGGTATATCAATCTCCAGTGAACGAAGCATATATCATTCTAATAACTTAGCTAAAAGCACTCATAAGGGAGAAACCTAATAAGCGACTTTAAATACATATTGTGAGCCAATATACTTGAACAAAAACGTAATGTTTAAGTTGGTGAATAATATGTGAGCAGATGATAAAATCAATTAGAAGTCGTCAATCAATGGATATCTATAAATAGGTGCGACTAGGATAAAAAGATTCATTTGTCTTCGAAGCCTAATAGATATCTATAAATAGGCATGTCTAGGATAAAGAATGCTATGATGAGCTTTCCTTCAAATAGTCATTTCTCTTCCACCTCTTTATTGAGTTGTAGAATAGTCAGTTTAGGAGCAGAAAGCCTTGAGTAAAGAGATGAGAGAAATTTTTTGATCATCATTTAGAAGTTAGGGCTTTTATTTTGTTATATTCATTTTATTTGAAATCAATATGCTATCAAAAGTTTCCATTTTTCTCACAAGTTGTATTATAGCTGTATCTATGCATCAACCATGCTATAGTGTTGGAATTTTTTTAACATAATGAACGATTGACACTCATATTGTGCGGGGGACCCACTTCTTTTTTTAATTTTTTTTATTCACGAAGGGCCCACGAGCTATGAGAAGATGTTAAACATTATGTCAAAAATATTCTGACAAAGTAGTTTAATTGATCTACACATATTGGACTGGGAACTTTGGTAACATCCTTGAAGAAGACATCACATTTTCAACTCAAATTACACTCAAAATCAGAACAGAAAGTCGTGTATACTTTTCTTTACAAACAAAAGTTTCAAATGAGTCACAGTAACCAAAACTCCTTTTTCTTTATCGTCCAAACTTTCATGTTTTTCTTGCAAATTGTGCTTTGGCAATTGGGATAAAAATTATATTTTTAATAAATTTTGATAAAAATTGATAAAGTATAAGGTTGAAGATTGATAAAATTTTTGGATTTCATAATATATGATTAAAAATGAATTTTAAAAAATGAAAATTAAAAGGCTCTGTGATTAAACACCTGGTTTAGACACATTACTTCAATACGTCCTTGATATGAAGTGCAAACATTCCATGTTTTAAAGTCAATAACTTTTCATGTAAAATAAATAATTTAGGTATTGGTGGGTCAAGATAATCATAAAACACTTTTATTTTTATTATCTCCTGAATTTCCTTTTATATATATATATAAGTTTATGCTTTGGTATATCTTAGTTACATATTTTATATTATTTGCAATCGCTCATTACAACAATCGTCATACATAACATACACATAGCAAATGGTTATTTGATATATGGGTCAATAAAAAATTACAACATTTATGCATCAAATAATCACTTACTATGTGTATACCATTTAGAAAAACTACTCTAATGATTACGAATAACGAATAGCATTACTTTTCTTCTTTTTATGTCATATTACCCGTTCTTGGTGCCTCAAATCAAGGCTCTTATCTTTGAACCTCATCCCAAGGCAAAAAGGGTGCCATTTCTTTCAATTTTTTTTCCCCTTTTCTTCATAATTAGGGAACTTTATTTATTTTTATATGTCCAAATAATTTGTTGGTTCATGCATTAATGTACCAGCTGTCGTGTCCCATATGGCACAAGAAAACTACTTTATTAGGAAATAAAGTAAAAAATTTCGATGCATTGATGTCCTGTACTTGCCACGTCCAATAATTCCATGAAGGACAATTCCTCTTGTCCCGGACCACATGTGTCCCCCTCGAAAATCCTGGGCCTCTAACAAAACTCTTCCATGAAATTCTATTAAAAATTGTAATGGTTTTTCAGAATTATATAATGGTTAGGCAGCCCTCCATTGATAATTAATGGCACCTGGTCATATATCAAACAGCCAATCAGTTAACCTAGAAATCAGAGATGCAAATATCATTGCCTTAGGATCGAATCAGGGTTGAACATTTGTTAATCCTATCTGATTCTTATAACATTAATGAACGAACTTTAGTTAATGTAGAGGGAAGAGGAAATCGAATGCAGACTTGAAATATTTGTATCTCATTGCTTTGAGATCTTGATTCGACTAGGTCAAGACCTATCTCAAATGGTATTAAAAATTTTGTAGAAGATGAACGATCAAGATTCAAGCATTCTTGAATACTCAATATTAGTCGATTTTTCACCCTACGTAAAATTAAATTATTAAATTTGCACGGCTTTAATGTAAGAGCATGCTTGAAATAGGATGAGGCTAAGGGACTAGACTTGGTAAGATTTCCGAACTTGATATTGGACGACATAGGGTGAATTTTTTTGCGCCATGAAATATAACTTTTAAGTAAAGCGGTGACAATACCCTACATCACGAGCCTCGAACAAATTAGTATAGTCTCGGAAAACAATCATACATTAAGCTAAAAACTAGTCTGAATTCTTTTTGCGAGCTATTTTTCGTAAATAGACATGTTGAAACTTGGGTCTTTTTTTTTCTTTGATACCAGTGAACCATTTTAGCTTTGAAAAATCGATCAGATATATGATTTTCAAGTCCAATTGCACCTTAACGGCCATTTTCCCGGCTTTGTACTCCATATCTTCATCTGGATCGAGAGCTGGGCGTACTGAAATGTTTTGCCTTAAATGTCAAGATATTGCTATAGCCTATGGTGTTAAAAATATTTCCCTAAAAGAATCAGTTACCAGCATCAATTTCCTCCTAGACCTCTTCAGATGGTTTCAATTCTTGAAATAAAAAGAAATCTTGAATTCTTCTTTATGTACCTGCAATAAAACCAGTTCGACAAATTAGTAAAAACTAAAAAATTAATCATACATAAAACTAAATACTATATAGGAAAAGAATAATAACATCATATGACATACAAGATAAATGAAATATCGAGTTTTTATTGATCAATGATACCCAAATTTTAAAATGAATATATTTATAGAATAATGTGATACATTTCGAGTGCTAATAAATAAATACATTCTAAATATACGAAAAAGAACAATAATTTTGGAGAAAAATATAATCTAATGTTGGGAAGAAAATGAAATTCAACAAGCATATCTCATGTACTGGTTCATAATTATAAACATATAATCCTATGGAAATACCTAAAAAAATGGAAAAGTGTTCAGAAAAAATCAAGGAAAAAAAAAAAGATTAAAAAAAAAAAAAAACATTCATCACATAACATTTGTGAGATCCGAAAATGAAATTGGACTCAAAATTTCAATTAATTGATGCAGGATTAACAAAAATGTAATCGCTTAGAAATTTACACTCTCGAATTACATTAAAATATACCTTTTAATTTCTTCATTAATTTTTTCCCTTCTTGAATATATGCTACTTATATAAGTATTTGTTTTCTGCTAAAAATTCCAAATTGCAAAGGATTTTGATCCTGTTTGTTCTTGTTGTTATTACCATTGGCTTCCACTGTGAATGAGATGAACATTACAAGAATTTCTGTGCCTGTAGGCATACTGTGGAATTTCTCCGGCTGGTTGTGGGTACACGTACAACTTCGGCCGGCGGACGTGACAGAAGAAACGGCCCCCGCCTCCTTCGCCAGTTGATTTTGGGCATCTTGGTGGTAGCATGACAGCAGCGGCGGCGGAATAAGACGATTTAGGCGATGTAGTAGAGGGTGGTGGTGAATTTTTTTTGGCGGTTTTAGGAGCTGACAAGAAAGCTCTAATCTTGATCGCCATGGGCGGCGGCGCAACCCTGTCGTATTCTTCTATAAGATTAGCAAGATCCTCATCGGAAGTGATTGATACAAGAGCATCTAAATCTTCTGTTGGTAATTGACATCTCAGATTCACTGCTGATCTTCCACACATCTCTCCCAGCTTCATCACCAGCTCTGTAACACACAAAATTGTCACTATCAGCCGTGACGACACGACACGACACATCTTCACTATAATTACATTGGAAATGAAAAAAACGGAGGGGACTAACCAGCATGAGAAATGGATCGTTCGACGGAAAGAACACGGGTTTCGCCACCGTGGTAACGAAGTTTTCCATCCGGGTAACGGGGGAGAATCCTGCCGCCGTAGCTGCAAAGAAACTTGATGGTGCTGGTGGGTTTCACGGCGAGTTCCATGCTTAAAAATCTTTTTCTTTTGGGTCCAGTAATTGATACCAAAAGGGATTCTAATAAAGAAGGAGAAGTGAACTCTTCTTGAAGCCTGTGTAAGGTACCATTGAGGACTTATTTATAGAGGTTTGGGGAAGGAGCTCTGCCTTGGAGGGTGGCCAAATGGGTGGTGGAAATTAGAGGCTTAGGTTTGCTAGAATCCCATGCCCGAATGGGCCCAAGTGTAAATTTGGAAAGATTATTATTTTCTATTTTTAATATTTTTTAATTTTAAGTCTTATATAATAAATTTTATAAAATAAGTCAACATGACGGAAATGAAAATGTTCAATTCTCATCCCACCAAGTTTACAAAATGATTTGTCTCATATATAGTATTTTAAGGGCAAAACGTTCAATCTGTTGATGAGCACTTTGACATATAAAGTGACACATCTCTTATCTAGTCCGCCTTAAAGTTTTGGATAAACATTTTAGCTCCTGTTTGGTTCTCATTATTTGAAATTTTAATGGTTTAAATAATATCTTTTTGAAAAATATATGGATAAAAAAGGAAAAAATTTGAATTACGTATAATATTATTTTATTAGAAAATATACAGTTGATAAGAAAAGGAAAAAAAAATGAATTATAATTTTAATGTCACTTGATGAAGACGAGTAACAATTGATCCGACTTCTCTTTTAAAAGATTAATAACTATAAAAGTTAAAAAAGTATCAAACATATCTAATTGTTATTGAACTTCACATGTAGAACCTGAAATATCTCCAATTTTTACTACATTAAAAAAACAAAACAACAAAAATTTAAATTATTTTCTTAATAAATCGATCACATAAATTCTTTGTTGGTCCATCGGATCATCAAACTAAATAATTTATATCATTATTACATTACATGGGTGCCAAATAGGTGACGTGTCATAGGGGCATGTCATGGCCCCGATTGAATGGAATTACATTACATTGCAATCAATCTTGTACAAGATGGTCCAGTCCTAGTAAGCTTGACTGAGATCTTGTACAAATGTTTTAAAAGTATGATAACTGATAAGACTTGTCCTTGTTTGAGCCTCGTTCTTTTGAAAAAAATGTATTTTTCAATAATATTATAATATCATTTTAACAACACATTTTTTAATAAAGTTTTTCCTTATTTTTTAACCATACATATCTCATCAATACACTATTTAAAAATTCATTCTCCTCCCCAAAATGGGGCTCAAACAAGGATAGTTGTTTGTACTCGATACTTCTTTGACTAAGAAAATTTTATTTGTGTTTTTTTCAAATTTCAATTTTTTACAGTGTCTAAAATACATGTATTAGATTTCAAGTTTCGATTCACAATATGACTTTATTATGTGCACGATCTTTCTTTAATATAAAGCAGACAATTTGAGAAAAATTGAATTTTAAAAATTTGATTTGAATATGGGCTTAACATATTTAAGTGTATTAACAAGTCGCTAATGCAATTATAAAGTAGTTGCCAACTAAACCACACTCTTATGAATAAAATAATTATGACTAATAATTCCTTAATCGAGTGAGTTGTTCCATTTAATAATTTCATTAAATGTAGGGCAATAAGAATCTACACTTTAATTAAATTCCAATATAATTTTTTAAAGAGGAAATTATTATAAATGTCCACTTTCATATATCCATTTGCAAAATGTCCATCATTACAAATCCTTGCAAAAATGTCTATTTTAAAATAATTTAGACGAAAATACCATTGTTAACAATTTATGATTCCACACAAAGACAAAAATGGACTTTTTGCAATTAAAATTTTTATTGACAATAAAATTTTGACACATAACATGTCCTACTTATTTCAAAAGTGGACATGTCAAATCACAATAAATGTTGTTTTCCTAATTGACACATAAATGTCGAGAACTACATTTCTAGTGTAAAGAAATGTCATGTTCGGAATGAAATGTCATTCTAGACATCTAATATGTCGAGAGTAACATTTGAAATGTCGAGAATATTTAATGTTGTGATTTGACATGTGTACTTTTGAAATATAAACGGGGTTCAAATATCGAGAACGGCATTTGAAATGTTTAGAATATTATTTAAATGTAGTTTCTCATGAAAGCTACTTCTCGAAATTCTTGACAAATTGGAAAAAATTAATTGCTTCATTTTTTCGTTAAGTGCATAATAGATAGTTTAGTACTAAATTTTAATTGTGGATATTTTTAATTAAGACCCATGAAATTGGACATAATACCCCTATAATTAATCCCTTTAGTGTACTTAGCATTTTATAAAGGGAAAAAAAATCATATTTCAGGTGTATTGTTTCCACCAATTTAAAAGTGAGGTAAATAGTTTAAAAGTCCAAAATTCATGTATATATATATATTTAATTAAAAATATTTATTAAATAAAGATAATAAAGTCACAATTACACAATTGATGGTCATAGATTCATTATTACAGATCACAGATTTATTTACTGGTCACATATCATCAAATTAATTGATCACGGATTATTTCGAGGTTACAGATCAAAAATTTTGTATGTCACGGATTATTTCAAGGTCACAAATTAAAAATTTTGTAGGTCACAGTTAATTTCACTAGTCACAGATGAAAAAATTATAGGTCAGGATTCATATATCGGTCACATATTTTCAAAGTTGTTGGTCACAGATTATCGAACTTTAAGGTCACAATTAAACAGTTGGTCACGAATAACCAAACAATTGGTCACAGGTCAAATAGTCGATCACCACCAACTCCACTGTCACCACAACAACTTGCAACCACCCTCACCCTGTCACCACCGCTACCACCACAACAGCACCACTACCAACACCAACACCAGAGCATCATCGCCAAAAAATCGCAGCCACCAGATCTACCTCCAAACACTACCAAAAACAACCACGACCGCCACCACCAAACACACCGAAAAAAACCACCACTATCGTCACTTGAACCACACTATCATCACAGCCACTACCTACATCACACTGCACCACAGCCACCGCCTGCACTGCACCACACAAACCACCATCCAAAACCACCCCAACCGCCAAATCCACCATAGAACCACAAAAACGCCATCACACAAACATAAGCATACAAACACCATCACACAAACACCATCCAAAACCACCCCAACCTCCAAATCTATCATTTAACACTGATTCTGCTTCAAACCACCATCCAAAACCACCCTAATCGCCAAATCCACCATACAACGTTGCTTTTGCTTTGTTTGCTGGTTGTGGTGCTTCGCTTACGAAGAGTCGTCGGAGTAAGTGGGTGGATTTACTTCTCGGTGGCAACTCACGGTGATTCGCACAAACCCACCGCGCTACGTGGTAAAGATCATCACCGTGCATCTTATGTGGTGGCGACGACACGATGTCATCAATTGAAGTGAAATGGGTAAGATCTCTGACAATACCGTAGCACAGGGAAAGGAAGAGATGGGGAAGATGGAGACTGTGAGAGAGAATAAAATTAGGGGGTAATATATATTATATTCATACCTGACTTTTGAATAATGAAACTTGGTCCCTTATTTTTGAATTCTAATCTATAAACACCTGAAATTATGTCATTTTCACATTTATAAAATCACTTTTGATTTTGCTTTCAAAAAAGACATTGGGACAGGCCCAATAATAGGGGTCGACACCCCTGTTTTTGGGTCTGTCCCGACATTAGGGTTCTTTTGTTTTCACCTGCATACGATTTACAAACAAACCAACCGATTTGATTGACAGACGAATTAGTCAATCAAAACTAATTTTTTTCCTTAATCACTTTCTCATTTTGATGTGAAAATTTCGTAGTAAACTTGATAATGACGTTAGATTTTTTTAAGCCATATTTGGCGTAGATTAAAATTAAATTAAAATTTTAAATCAAAGTTATTAATTAATTTTAAGGATACAATTTCATGAGATTCACAATCTTTCAATTACACATTTCATTAAATTTTATCAAAATTTACAAAAAAAAAAAAAATTGATTTTAATTCCTATCATACATATACTAAATAGAGACTCGACTGTACGTTTTTTTTCTTATGTCGCTTACATTTAGTAGGATCATATATTGCACAATGACGTCAAATTATTTTATACAGACATGGTAGATGAGGGATAGATAAAACTAACCTAATTTACAAGATTGTTAAGAATTGAATCTTTAAGTAAATTCAATAATAAGATAGATGTGTGATACATAAATAATTATTTTACAATATTGATGCTACTATTGTGACAAATAACACAACAATTGTGACAAATTTACATAAAAAATATTAATCTCTATTAATTATTCTATAAGATCATGATAATGATTGCAAAAACTTTGCATCAAAATTTATATATATATTATGATGAGGGCACATTGGAAATTTCAATAAATAAATATCGTATTTCTTTCCACTAACAAAGTATATTTAAAAATGGATAAATGTTATAAAACTGAAGAAAAGAGAAGAGAATAGAGAGAAGTCAATAGACTTGTGTATTTTACTATGAACCAAAGTCCTGTATTCATAGGGCAAAATTAGGAATACAACAGTAATTATTTTTAGGACTGTCGGGGTATAATTGTCATTCACTTCTAAACCCTAATAAACTTTTCTTTTACAACACTCTCCATTGAATGATACATTACAAAATATATGCCTCGTTAAAACCTTATTTGATAAAAATCAAATGGGAAAAAAAATAAAATGAAGGAAAAAGAGTACTGTTATTTTGGAGTACTAAAAATAAATACTGCCTCATTGAAACCTTGTTAGGAAAACTCAGTATGACAAAACCTAATTGAAGGAAAAAGAGTACAGCTACTCTTCCTGATATTGATCACTGAAAATCTTTGAGTCGATACATTCTAATCTCATGAACTAATTTCTTGAATGTAGATGTTGGCAGTACTTTTGTGAATAAATCGGCCATATTGTCACTTACGCGAATTTGTTGGATATCGATGTCACCATTCTTTTGAAACTCGTGTATATGAAAGAATTTTGGAAAAGTATGTTTCGTCCTGTCACATTTGGTATAGCCTCCTATGAGTTGTACAATACAAACTGCATTATCTTCATACAAAATTGTTGGACTATCCTTTGTTGAAATTAATCCGC